ACAATCGGCTTGGGATGTTCCTAAATAACTTCAGTACTCGAAAAACGCTATCAAAATCTCTATAAACGAACCAGTAATCATGTTCTTAATGAAGTCACGATGTCCTGGAGCATCAATGATGGTAATATAGTACTTGGATGTCTCAAACTTCCAGAGAGCGATATCGATGGTAATACCACGCTCACGCTCGGCCTTCAGCTTGTCCAGCACCCAAGCATATTTGAAGGAACCTTTACCCATCTGAAAGAAATTTAATATGGATCGCACGCAGTGAAGCACCATTTTTGAAAATGTATCAATTCAGTCTATTTATGAGCTACTGATTCTATTCACTTCAACTACCCTATATGCTGATTGTTGATTACTGTCAGATTAGTTCAGCAGCAATCTGATTTGTATCGCACTTACCTTTAGACGGAATATTCAGACGCCCTGTAAATCAGATTTTATGGTACTCTCAGTCTTATCCTATTCTGGCGTCTTCGCTGTTCTTTCTCAAAATTTGCACCGCAACTGATGTTCGCAGCAATTTTTTACATAAGCAATATACAGGAAGTTCGTCACTGCCCAAGACAACTATTTTTTATGTTGCTGATATTTTATTGTTGAGAACTGCACTTATACATCCTCGGGCAAACCTCACGGCTGCAGTGAGCAAGAAAATCTCCGGTTGCACTCAATCCTTACAAAAGAAAAAAACCCTAGCTGCCTCCCAGCGAGGGACATTGGAGCACGGATGCTTTTTTTCTTGTGTGTGTGTTTTTTTTTGTATTTCGATGCATCGCTCAACTTCCAAAAATCAGAGAAAATAAAGGACGGTGGCCAAACAAATAAACAAATGAGATGTATGCCATGAAATGCACCAACGCGAAATTTTTGAATGTTATGTACATGGGTTATAAAAATGTGCAGGTGACTTTTTTGAATTTGCAAATAATTAAAATGATTAAATTTCTTGAAAGTTCAAATCAGCCTTGTAAAAAAATTTTTCGGGGCGTGGTTGACGCCGCACCCCTTTTTTCTGATATTTTGGCTCCGCATAAATTTGGAGAACTTCCGAAATATTCTTCAGCGTGGCTAATGCCACGCACCTTAAAT